TATCGTATGTAATTGAAACGGTGGAAGTGTAAAAATTAGTATAATAATTTGCCCAAGATTCCAGAGATATGTAGCTTTCACTTTGAGGTTCAGATTTTTTCGATTTTTTGAAAAAGGACCAAAATTCTTTTGGGTCTTTAATATTGGACAATTTATTTGTTATTGTTGTAGTGTAAACACTTTTTTTTTGCATTAGTAATTTTTTATAACTTTTTCTTTCTTGTGTATATTGATTTAAAAACGAGACATCACTTGTATTCGATTTAAAGATTTTATATTTGGCTTTTACCGATCTTTACTTTACTAATAGACCAGAAGTAAGACGGATATGAGTATGCAAAATGTGAGGACCGGCAAAAATGCTCAAATTCGTATTCCTGTGATCTTAGACAATGGGAGAGTACCTCTTGCCGGCAGCTGGAGTGTTCCCTAAATCTCCTACCATCCCCCAATTCAAAGTTATATTGAAAATATCCCAATTTCGAGTCATTTCACAATAATTCTTGATTGTACCTAAGGCTTTCTTTTCAAGCACTCAACATAAATTACCTACCACTTGTTGGATGTCTTTGGAATTCTTCTCCAAAATATACACAAGTAAAAGAAGACTGCGAGATGTACAGGGTGATCCAACGACGACCGAACCGGGGCTTATTTTTGCCCTTCCCTGTTTCTGTAGTTTTGAGAAAATTCAAAATAGCCAATTGGCATATTGTTTTCTGGAGAATTCAAAAATTGTACCAAAAAATCATTTGAACTAAAAACCGAAGATTTACGCCACGGATGAACTGTTTTTCAGATGAAACACACGATAATAATAAAAACACTATACTCTCAATCATTATTAAAGGCTTTTGTGGAAATGTTTGCCTACACCTGAGAGTCCGGATCGTAAGGGAAGATGAACCGCATGATCGCGGGTGAAAAACGAGGGGAGTTAATGAGGGTTATATAAAGTAGATAAGGCAGCACCTTTAGGAAACAGTTTAGGCAATAAATTGCAAAAAAATATATATATATGGCGCTATAATACTTATTGGTGCTTCCAATCAAGTAAATCAAGCATATTTATGCGTTTACTCAGAATAGCATTTACTTTTTTCTAGAATACTGTGGGAGCCCCTGAATACTACACGATTGCTTAGATTATTGTAGAACCGATAACATTTGATGTAGAGCTGATAAAAAATCTACAAAAGAGTCTTGATTATCGTAAGAGCTGTATAATGTCATATAAAAGCGAGAAAACAAAAAAACCAAAATAATCTAGAGACCATGCACTCTAGATTATTGTAGAAAACATAGATACTATTTGAAGAATGTGTATCTGGATTATATCAGATTGTAGCAGCTGAAGAAGCTCATTAGAGTGAAAGCTGTTGTTATTGAATTTTGTGACACACATATCAATCTACATCATTTCTAAATTCAAGCGGCAGTAAATGACATTGAAATAACCTAAATTGTTGTGATGATCCAGAAATTTGACCCTATAATTACAAAGTCTTTACTGTAAAAATTTTAATTTTTATCAAATAATCAAAAACTTAATTCCGGTATTTTTAAATCTGTATCAATAAATTTCCTTTTGCCAGTTTCGGCATTTTGCCCATTTTTCGTTCACTTTAGTTTCCTCTCATGTTCGGGGAAAAAGACTAATGCGGCTACTTGGTTTGCATGAAATGAATGATCCAGTCTGGGTGTGTTGTACTTTACCCGAAAAATATTCCTCCATCGCAAATTTCAATTAACAACATTGCATCCAGAACTCATTTACTTGGCCTCTACATGAAAAAATTATTTGAATTTGCTAATTTATAAATCCAGGATTGCGTATTCGGTATCGGTTAATATTTTCCACACGCGGTTCCACAGATACATCCTAATTTGTTTCGAGTAATTTCTCGATAAGGATGAACATTTTACATAAAACTTGACTGCAAAATGGGTCAAAACAATTCTAGTTGGATAAAAGGCCCTGGTAATTCCGTTTCCACTTACGTGAAAAACACGATAGATTTAAATTGATTAAGAACCAAAATGGGGGTTTTCTTTTGATTGTTTTCAGAGGAGTAGCCTTTAAGGGCTTTATAAGGTGATTTTGTCAAAGTTGGAAAACTTTTTACCTAGACTTGTATGCAAATTATGTGGAATACGTACGGGTGGCCCGTTTAAGAGGGGCCTATACCTTATCTCGAAATCTACGAGGGCTGTAAAAAAAACTTAAATACAAAAGTTGTTTCTAATAAAATTATCTACAACCTTTTCGTTTTTTTTTGTTGTCACTCCACTATATACAGGGTGGACAAATAAAATTTCATTTTTTTTAATGGAACACCCTATATTTTAATACATTTTTACATAGCCCTTTGAAAGACAAATTCAACGATATACTGGTCATGTGTGTGTGATATACCGTTTCGAACTTATTGGCGATTATCTTCAGGATTTGGGGTAATTTTCAATAGTCAATGTAACGTTACTCATAAACTTTTTAAATTTTTTTCTGCATGATATTTTCGGGGATAATACCACGAGAGCTTCAAAATTACCGATAATTTTTCACGATTGCGTGTTTTCTATAATTTGCAGAGAAAACACGCATGAATGAAAAATTATCTGGTTCATTTTAAAGCTCAAGTGGTATTTAGAGGATTATTTCACGTATGAGAATGCAAAAAATATGGAAATAAATATGTATAAAACAATTTGAACATCTTAACAATCAATAAAAACAAATGGTTGCTAACAGGAACCGTTTGTTTGTATCAAAAATTAGCATGACAACCGTGTATACAATAACATGGGAGAATTATCGCTGTAATTCTCTCTAGTTAAACAAATGGAAAAGAGAATTTTCGCTGTAATTCTGAAAATCGTCACTTGTCTTATAGGATTTCTAACACATGAGTGGAATAATCTATAAACTAATGCTCTTCTTTAGACTATAATTAAATTTGAAATATTTATTTGAATACACGGTGTTGCCAAGTTTCGCAAAATGTTACGCTTTTGAATTTTTTTAAATGGGACCTCCTGTAAATTTTCGAGTTTTTGGAAAGCCCTTCAAAAGACAAATTTAACGATATACTGGACATGGATCTGTGATGCACCGTTTCGGCCTGATTGGCGTTTATCTTTAGTTCTAGCACAATATCCAATGTCATCCCTGTTGAATGAAAAAAAATTCTAATTTTGCAGTAGATTAGCTTTTTCTGCATTAATAGTGGCATTATGGAAAAATTTTTCATACATATTATTAATGTATGCACGTTAATAGACGGCCGACAGAAAATAGACATTTTTGTTATTCACCTGGAGACTTGGACAGATGAAATATTGTGCTAGAACTGAAGATAATTGCCAATCAGGCCGAAACGGTGCATCACAGAACCATTTCTAGTATATCGTTGAATATGTCTTTTGAAGGGCTATCCAAAAACTAGAAAATTTACAGGAGGTCCCATTTGAAAAAATTAAAAAGCGTAACATTCTGCGAAACGTGGCAACTCCGCGCTTTTTAAACAAATATTTCAAATTTGACTATAGTCTGAAGAAGAGCATTATTTTATAAAAAGTATCATGCAAAAAAAAGTTTTAAAAGTTTATGAGTAACGTAACAATGATGTGTTTAAAATCACCCCAAAGCCTGAAGATAATCGCTAATAAGTTCGAAACGGTATATCACAGACTACCAGTATATCGTTGGATTTGCCTTCCAACAAGCTATGTAAAAATGTATTAAAATATAGGGTGTTCCATTTAAAAAAATGAAATTTTATTTGTCCACCCTGTATATGGTAGAGTGACAACATAAACAATACAAAAAAGTTGTAGATAATTTCATTAGAAACAACTTTTGTATTCAGGTTTTTTTTTACACCCCTTGTAGATTTCGAGGTAAGGTATAGGCCCCTCTTAAACGGGCCACCCTGTAGATATACATTGGACCTGCATTTCCAGTAATTCCAACGTTTCAACCCCTAAAGCATTTCCGGTCATCATCAGTTTAAGTTTGATAACGACCGGAAATACTTAAAAATATGAATTTTACTCTCTATACACAAATGCAGCTTTACTATAGTCCCCGTCATAGATAATTATTGAGATTCCTACAAAAATTATTCCTTTGTCAGCGATGCCCGCATAAACAAAAACCGCTGCAAAAACTCTACAGATAAGGGTTGAGATTAAATTTAGTCCAAGGGCATCAATTTTTTGTTTTTGTTTAAGGGCCCCATACACTACGATGAAACAAGACGGTTTTCATCGCCACGGTGAAACACGTCGTTCTAAAACCGAAGTGTGTAAAAGAAAAACATGACGGTTTTCTACAGGGCCCCACAGACTACGATAAAACACGACGGTTTTCATCGCCACGATGAAACACGTCGTTCTAAAACCGAAGTGTGTAATAGAAAAACACGACAGTTTTCTACAGGGCCCCACAGACTACGATAAAACACGACGGTTTTCATCGCCACGATGAAACATGTCGTTCCAAAACCGAAGTGTGTGGTAGAAAACCGTCGTGTTTCATCGTCGGTTTAAAATTCAGTCCGAGCTTGATTTTTGGCACGACGGTTCAACATTTCGTACACACGAACGGTTTTCTACCACACACTTCGGTTTTGGAACTACGTGTTTCATCGTGGCGGTGAATACCGTCGTGTTTCATCGTAGTGTATGGGGCCCTTTATCCGGACATCGCCGACAAAGAAATAATTTTTTGTTTAATTTAGTTTTTAGTTTTAGTTGGAACAATTCTAAAACAGCATCCTTTGCGCAAAAGTACAAAACAAACCCCAAATAAAAAAAATTCCGTTCATCCGCAAATACATTAACCGATAGAATCGTCAAAGATTTGCAATAAACTTTCACATAATTCCGTAGAAACATTTCAAAACAACCGAGAAAATGTCAAAAGTGTAAATGGAATTTAAATTAATTTCCAAATTAATCTTTGGTTCGAAACTATTTGAAATGGAATTTTCTTTTACCTCTGACAACCAAACGAACCGGATGACTGGTAAGAGTGTCTTGAATGTAAAAATCGTTGGCAGTGACTTGACATGCCCAGCTTCCATCGTCTAATTCTAGCTTGGCCGCTGTGACCCATATGGAACAGTCGCCGTTTTGCTGATTGGACGATATCAATTCGTATTTGTGTGGGTACATGCCCATTAGCTGAAAAAAAAAAAAACAAGCAGATTTATTTAAAGTTGTTAGGTGATAAATTGATGTACGATTATAAGACACTATACTCTCAATCAATATTAAATACTTTTATGAAAATGTTTGCCTACACCTGAGAGTCCGGATCTTAAGGGAAGATAAACCGCATGACTGCGGGTGAAAAACGAGGGTTTAATAAAGTAGATAAGGCAGCACCTTTAGCAAACAGTTTAGGCGAGAAATTGCAAAAAAAAAAATATGGCGCTAAGGTAATTGGTGATTTAAATCAAGTAAATTAAGCATATCTATGGGCCTACTCAAAACAGGATTTAATTTTTTCTAGAATATTGTGGAAGCCCCTGAATGCTACACGATTGTTTAGGTTATTATAGAACCAATAACGTTTAATGTAGAGCTAATGAAAAATCTACAAAAGACAGTCTTGATTATTGTAAGAGCTGTATAATTTCATATAAAAGCGAGAAAACAAAAAAAACAGAAATAATCTAGATACCATGCACTCTAGATTATTGTAGAAAACATAGATACTATTTGAAGAATGTGTATCTGGATTATTTTAGATTGTAGCAGCTGTAGAATCTCATTAGAGTGAAAAGCTTTTAGAAATTTTATAGTAGACTATCTAGATTATAGTACAAGCTTTTATGTGGATCTCATAGAGATACTGTCCAGAATGTCTAAGAGATGAAAGATTCCTTGAATCATGGAGTCATTTTCCATTTAAGCTACAATATACTAAAATCGATTATTTCTTTTAATAAAACGCAAAAAAGAACTGAAATTGTTGACCGAGCGGAAACAGATTACTTTTCACCTTTAGATCTTGGCACAAAATAATTGTTCGCTCAACAAGGCTAATTGCAACAAGAAGAACTTTAAAAGGAATCCGATATAGTTTGCTTGTTAAAATTGTTCCCCACAAAAGCAGCAAGAGGTTTGTTTATTTATTTTAATAAGATTGCCTCGACTAGCCAATTCGATATAATCAAGTTAAGGGCAACGTAATACCAGCAAAATGATTATGTACAGGGTGATCCAGTATAAAGTGAACACCCTCTACCTTTTCGCTAAAAATTTTTTTTTTTAAAAAATCAAGATAGCTATTTAGGGTATTTTGTTTCTAGGAATTTGAAAACGTTTCATGAAATTTAATTGGCTTTTTCGTTAAAGCACTGTGACGACAAAAGTAATTTTTTTTAAATGGAATAACTTATATTTAAATCAATTTCTTAAACGCCCTTATTTTTCTCATTTCAAATATATATAGTTTGTTTATCTTTATTTTAGTAATTTGGAATATATTCTCACTTAAGTATCTTAAGATTCAAATAGAAATAGCCAAAAAGGTATCAAGGTAAACCTAAATAATTTTACGTTCAATAAAACTACTGGTTATTATGTTTTATGATACCTTTTCGGCTATTTTTATGTGAATTTTGAAGTGAGAATATATCGCAAATTAATAAAATAAAGATAAACAAACTATATATTTGAAATGAGGAAAATGGGGGCGTTCAAAAAATTGATTTGAATCTAGGTTATTCCATTTAAAAAAATTACTTTTGGCGTCACAGCGCTTTAACGAAAAATGTAATTAAATTTCAAAAAACGTTTTCAAATTCCTAGAAACAAAATACATTAAATGGCTATCTTGATTTTTCAAAAAAAAAATTTTTTGCGAAAAGGTAGGGGGTGTTCACTTTATACTGGATCACCCTGTACACTTGGTCAAACATAAAACTGGTACAGGCAATATATTTTTTTTAAGTTTGCCTAGAGTGAGTCAGGCTTAACAACAAATAGTCTCTTCTGAAAAACTTAGGTCCGACAGTTTTTGTCAACGTCAAAGCTGAACAAAAGTAAATGCAACATGTTTTTATGTTATGATTGGTTTAAATATAACACTGACTTGACTCTTTTTTTCATTGTTGAGGTGATAAACAAGGTCGATTTACATAATGCAACACAATAGGAAAATGCGTACCAGTTTTATGATTGGCCAAATGTATATGGAAGACTATAAAAGATGGTATGGGTTTATTTATTCTTCCAAATAATTTGGTTGGATTTGAATATTTACAATGTATTCATGTGCAGATGATACGGATGATCTACGTCGAAGGGGAACTTTAATATAAAGTTTCCCTTGTTCAAGCTTCGTTTGACCATGATCACACAATAAATTAATAAAATACCCCTATCAGATACATTTTCCAATAATAACCATGCCATATATTGTATTTAGAATTCAAATATGATATGCCCCTTTATTTCTAAATTGCATCCTCATCGAAAATGTAATAGATAATAGGACTCGGCTCTATTTTCCATGTCTCTATTTATTATTCAAATCATCATAAGTATACAAAATTATTCCAGACAACAATCCAATGTCTCCAGCAACTTTCAAGATTGAAATTTCGAGTTTATGCAGCACTTCATTAAAAGCTATTATTGTTCTCTGTCCGTAAAAAGTGCAACATAAATATTAACATCGTGTTGCAATCAGAAAACTATTTTATTAATTCGCAAACCAATTTGCCGGTGAACCAAAACTCCGATCATGGCTTGTTTATGTGATCGAGATTAGATATATTTATATGAGAGTTTTGGTAAATAATCCGGCTATCAATTAATGATTCATGTCGATAAAACAAACAACTCAATATTTCATTTGTCCCGGGACAAAAACACGGATTTGCAAACTTCATGATTATGAAGATTATGTATGAGAGCGCAGCACAAACAAAACTAGTCGACATTTTACGTCCTTATTTCGTATATAGAAGAAATCCCTTGATGATCTTATTAGCATATTCGCTAGCGGGGTTTTTTGATAATCGACGTGAATATTTTGCATTAGTTATATCACGTCTATTTGCTGAGTCCTCATTTAAAATGTATTTTCTTAGGATAGTTAGTCAGTTGAAATTTATTATACTTATAACTTTTATTGTAACGTGCTCTCGCTAGTAATAATTTCGAATTGTTAATAAAGTCATTTTTTTTTAGAACCAACCCTCGGTTGCTGACTTGTTAACTGGCGCAGTCGACAGGACGTGTTTTTTCGGGACTATGTATCGGTTCTTCGGTATTCGGACTAACCGAAAAAATCGGACTTACGTTAATTGTTTTCTGTGAGGTGTCAGAGTGGCTTTCTAGATATCGAAACACCCAGTTCATCGTGAACCTGTTACCTCGAAGTAATCGGAGTTCGGAACCAAATTGTCCAAATCTCGCAAGGACCAAGAACCATTTGGAAGGACCATATCGCCAACCAAACCTCTGGGACTTATAGCAATGAAATTCTTCTTATTCAGTCTGTAAGTGCAATTTAACTTATGTCTGATTAGATGAAATAATTGAAAAATTGAATAATTTATCATTACCGCCTTCAACTGACTCATCTTCTGATTCGGAAGATTTAATTAGAATAATTAATCAAACATTTTCTGAAAGTAACGGTGCCGAAAGCACATCTTTTGATAATCAAAACATTTGCATTGTTCCGAATTTAAACTCTAACAGTGTGGCTCATTTCAAGCCAGAGTACCTTAGTTGTGTACCACAATTTGACGGAAATCCGAATGATTTGAACAGATATTTATCAGTATGTCAAAGCCTCATTGATGCTTTCTATAATGCTGCTCAACCAGACAGTTTTCAGAACATTTACTTGCTGAACTCGATAATCGGTAAATTAACCGGTAACGCAAAATTAGTTTTGGGAACCCAAAATGTAACAACTTGGGACCAACTTAAAACTATTTTGGGCAGGCATTTTGCTGACCAGCGCGATGAAGCTTGTTTAAATCGCGATTTAGTAATGCTTAGGCAACAAAATGGTGAAAAACCTAGCCAATATTACGATCGTATTTTACATATTTCAAATCTTTTATGTTCCTACGTAGATATTCATGAAACAAATGACGCTGCAAAATTGCTGAAACGTAATTTATACAATGATTTAGCTTTAAAAACATTCTTATCGGGCCTAACCATTAGGCACGACAATTCGTTGCATGCGTCCACGAGACCTTCCGCAAGCACTACAATTTGTTACTGATGAGTATAACACTCAATATTTCCAGAATTTTTCTAAACCTCATACACAAAAAACCATACAACACAATAAAACAAACACACAATTTATAAACACATATTTTAACCCAGGATTTAATAGCCAAACATCTAACAATTTATTTACGGCTAAGCCAACATTTCCATCTCAGCCTATTGCTGTGAAACCAAATTTTAACAAAATCCCACAAAGATTCCCTACCAATTCCCAAGTATTCAAAAATAAATCCAACACAAACTCAACAAATGTATTTAAACCCAATCAAAATAGAACTTTCCCAAAACCTACTCCTATGTCAACAACTTCGAGGCAAACCTTCAATGCCAATGCTCAACAACCTTCTAGAAATTATTTCCAGTATAACCAACCAAGTAATTTCATAGCTGAAGAACTATATAATACGAACGTAGTTGACGACGTTAACGAACCTCATGTTGACATTAATGAAAGTGACCCAGAATCCCTATACTACGATTCATCTAATTTTGACCAACTATATGATTCCGAGTCTAATTATAACACCCAATATGCTGAGTCTGCTGATGACAATAATGCAACTGGTTACTCTTATGATAACGCAAATTTTCTGAATCATGCCTCGGAAAATCCCCAAACTTAACACCCGAAATAATATCGTTGAATAATGCTTCTACAAGCGAGCTTCCATACATTATATTCCCAGAACACAATTTAAAAATTTTAATAGATAGCGGTTCCACTAGATCATTTATAAACCCTGAACTAGCTCAAAAATTGTACCCGGATAATATATTTGATGACCCATTTATTGTCTCCACCGTTTTTTAACAATCAGCACATAAGTACAGTGCTCAAATTCCCGCTCCTAAAATCTTTAATTTACCACATAATAAACCTCTGAAATTCTACCTATTTAAATTTCACAACATAT